TTCGGATATCCACGGCCAGTTCGCGTGAGAATCATGCGGAAACGGCGCATTTACATGCGCGATACAGTGATCCGCGTGGCCTATTTTGTTATCCTCGTTATCACGCGCGCTTTTATTATTATAACCGGATTGCGTCGCGTAATAATGCCCCTTGATTATCGCAACATGCGCGATAACAATAATGACGATTTATTAAAATACATACGTTATTATTATCCGTTAATTATTATCGTGGATAATCGCGGAGGCAAAGCGACCGACCGTCGCGACTCGTCGTTAAATATTCATTCGTAGTGGAATTCTTAACACCACGGATTTTCAATGTCGCCCTTTCCCGGAAACGTTAATTGCCATGCCACTGAAAAGCTCCCGCGCGATTTCGGAGGACATCCGCCCCGGAAGCGAGCTGTACCTTCGTTTAATGGCGCGTACATTGGCAAGAATTTAATACCCCATTTTTCTTTGTAATCTATCAAAACGCGCGAAATTCCTCTGGAACGTATACAAAAATATTCCACGTTTCGAACAAACGTAATTTGACCTCTTTCTCTTTCTCTCTCTTTCTCTTATTTCTGATGATACATAATGTTAACCCTCACAACCGAATGAAGAATGGATATTACGACGCATAATAGGACACGAAGCTGAGATGAAAAAGAAAAGTTGTTCATCAAAATTTAAAGAAAAGAAACGTAACAGTGGCGTGTGAAGTGCGTGTGAAGTGTACACGAGAGAGAGAGAGAGAGGGGGGGGAGGGGGAGAGGGGGGAAGAAGAAAGCAGCAAGAAGCAAAAAGAAATATATATCAATGTGTATTTTGAAGCAAGCTCGATAGAGATCACGATAAATCACGTGTAGGCGCGTAGAAACGGGGAATCGAGAGAACAAGCCATTCCATCAACGCCGAGTGAAATATAACGGCGCGAAGCACAAATTAAATATCCTCATAATGCCGCGTTCGCGTGTTGGTGTAGTTTCGCCGCGGCCGAGGCCTCTGGCTGCAGGCCAAACTTCGCCGGCCCGCCAGATTTGATGCCTAAAAAGGACCGTAAATTTATCTCATCGCGCGTCCGTCCCACATTTCGTCCCTCGCATGCACGAAATAAATAGAATTCTCAAGCTTTATGGCGGCCCGTGAGAGCCTTATAAATCTTACCGCTGCATGTCCCGCCATCGCCCGTATCATTCTTTACGTTTCGGGTTATGACACCTCGCCCGGGCGTAAACTCACCGCTCGATAAAAAGATATTTTAATGCGCGCCACTGTTTTTAATTCCCGCCCCGTAAATTTGCCGCGCGCTGCGGTAAATTACTGGATGTAAACAAAACGGAGCGCACCTCGATTGTCCGAATTAATTCGGGTACATGATGCGAAATAATCGATCTACAACAACCGAGTGTTTATATTTAAAAATAACGAAGGATATGATTTGTTGCGTAATGCTTCAATCGCTTCAATAAAATAAAATTTCTACTGAAAATTTAATAACGTATAACGCTGCAAATTTGATTTCTATTGATGCCCGACCGGGAGATTTTACTGCATCACGTAAAGTTGCGGGAAAATGCTTCGCGATATACCATCGTGAACGACATCGGTGCGTGTGAACGGATAAAACCTCGTTCGACATGCATAATAACGAAATTATTTGCGGAATAATCGCGATTCGTTAGCTACACGCCATCGGTGTTACGTCCCTGAGAAATTCTCTGTTCGCACGAAAATGATCGAACGCCGGGTGCAATATTTCGTACGAGCTGTCGTCGTAGAGCATTCGCACGGTCATAGAGTTGGTTCGATATCCTTGAAATACCGTTAACACGTTAACACGTGAATATCCACATGGCGCATACGAGCGCGAAGATTATCGGCCATGTCATAAAAAAGCTATACCTTTGGTACTTTATATATGAAAGTATATATTTACCAAGCATCTCTCCGACAGTGTTATATTTTTATTTATAGTGTTACATATTTTTTATGTCCGTTTTGGAAAAAAGGAAAAATCACGAACTCGCGATCAAATTGGAATTTCTTGTATTAAGGGAGGAGCCTCATATAACTCGCTGAAAATAAGGCGATATTTGGGAATTGTTTTTGAAGATCGTATTCAATGGATCATTTTACAACTTAGACCATAATTTGTTTAATGTTTAAAATAGTAGAAAAAATGTTTGTCACGCGACACGCTTACCAAATTATGTCCCAAGCCAGTAAACACCAAACCCAAGTGCGTAAACTATAGTGAAGCACATATGGCCAACTACAGAGGTTGCATTGTCGCTAAAGAGCTGCAAAAGTGCACAGAAACGAAGCTACTAATAGCAAAAAACAGCAGGAAAGCTTCCCAAGCAAGCTATCGAGAATCAGCAAATTAAATGGTAGATGGAATCTACTGATAATAACCAAAAGGCTCCTGAAATAATAAATGGAAAGCTGACTTATGCTACCTATGCTGAAAAGGTTGTGCATCTTGAAGACAAATGAAAAGACCACAATAATGAAAACGCGAGAATTATGCAGGTTCTTGAACAGCTGATAAGCCGACTTGATTTACAAAAAAAAGATCAATCAAATGAAATTCGATGTTGGAAAGTGAGTTGTCAAAAATCAAAGACAGATAATGGCCGGTTCTATTCGTATAGCAACTTGAAGTGCAAACGGCTTAAGACAATGCAAATCCGAATTTGAAATCTTTTTAGAGGAACAAAAGATAGACGTATGCCTTACACAGTCTGTCCCAGATACGATGAGACTGGTTCCATCAAAGTTCTTTGCGCAGCGATATCTATGAGTGAATGATGGTAGGTGAATGTTCTACCCTTCATCTACTTAATCTCAAAATTTGAGCGAATTCGGTTGATATTTCACTGTGGTTTGACATTTTATGTAAAGTCACTTTGTGTACGTCGGTCGAAAAACCAACTTTTAAATTGGGCAAAAGTGGCGCAGAAACGTACGAAACGCTAAAAAATGTGTACGGGGATGAATGCATGTCCCGTGCACCAGGTTTTCCGTTGGTTTGGCCGATTCCGTGACGGTCGTGAGGACCTTGCAGACGATGACCGAGCACCGCCGCCAAAAACCACTCGCAATGAAGAAAACATCGAGAAAGTCAAAGAAATTCTTCAAAGCGACCGCTGTGTGTCTGCCCAGATATTATCTGGGAGTTCTACAACGATTGTGGGCCAGAATTCGACGAGTTCGACCGGAATATCGAGAGCCAGGCAGTTGGTTTTTGTTGCACGATAATGCACCATCGCACAAAGCCATCATGGTACGTGAATTCTTGACCAAAAAAGGCATCATTGTTATCGATCATCCACCGTATTCACCTGATTTGGCTCCGTGCGACTTCTGGCTATTTCCCAAACTGAAATTGCCGATGAAAGGAAATCGTTTCGATACCATCCCGGTCATCCAAAAGACTTCGACCGCCATACTAAAGGCCATTCCAGCCGATGAGTATAAAAAATGTTTCGAAAAATTTGTTGAACGTTTCCAGCGCTGTATTGACTCAGAAGGACACTATTTTGAATAAACAAGAATAAAAAATCAAAATAATAAACGCTTTGTATTTTTTTTAGACCAGTCTCATTGGATCTGGGACAGACTGTGTACATCTGAAATACATTTTATATAAAGAATCTTACCTAAAAATACACGGTTTTAAAATCTATCATACCACTCACTCTTCTAACCTAACAGTGCTCGTGGAGGAGCTGGAGTCATAATTTGAGCTAATATTAAGCACAATGAAGAACCTAAATTCTCAATTGAAAGTATACAAGCCTCCACTATTAACATACATACAATGTAAGAGATATAACTTCATAATTTCTGCAATATATAGTCCACCAAGGCATAATATCAAACAATTCGCGACGAAGTAATCGATTTCTTGAACAGGAGCATATACGCAACGCGCATACAGGCACGCAAGCCACCATGGCTGCAGTAAGACTGCACCGAAAAAATTGTGTTCTTAATATAAGAAAATTTTAAACTTTTCAAGCTTTCTTAACAGACATTCTTAATCTATAAGAATATTTTCTTCTCTTTATCGATATGTCTAGAATACATACTAAAATTAAGAATATACTCTTTTAGAATAACTGCCTAGCAAGAAACAAGTCGTCAATCGGTCATTAAGAAGGAAGTACATACACTCTTACATAAAGGCATAATACACAATAAGGAAAGGAACCAATCAGAATTCTCATTTCTATTGCCACGTTTGAAATAAAAGACTGATTAGTTCATTTCCTTATGCGTTGTGCATTATGCCTTTATGCTTAAAGTGTGTGCTTTTTTTATCTCAAAAACAGCTTTCGCAGTATAATTATATGTAATAGATCAAAGACAAATAAAAATCAACATTGAAATCGGATCGCAACTTTAAAATTGCATTAAAAATGTAGCATTACAAGAGGATTAATAGTGCAAGAGGTTAATTAATTAAATATTACAGATTGGGAATTAGAATCAGTTCGACGTAGAAAGTGTATACACGGTGAATCAATTTTCCGCGTCGACCAGACTCTGATTCCTAATTTTTAATATTAAATTAATTAACCTCCCTTAATTTTTTGCAACACTACATTTTTTAAATTAATTTTAAGGTTGTAATTTGATAGCGTTGGCTTTTTCTTATTTTGATCCATCGTATATGGTTGTATTAATATTTATATACATTAAGAATATCCATTAAAAATATCCGTTAAGATTATTTCTGTAGAATATCTAGTACTAACACATTCTTAAGAAGATTCTCCTCTTAAGTTAAGAAAATGTTCTTGGTGCCTATTTTAGAAGAAATTATCCTAAACATAAGTGGGAAATTCTTAAAATAAGAATACAATTTTTTCGGTGTGCGCTTTTGGCCCATATCGTTGCGGTCAATCACACAAAAAATTATAAAAAATTACGTAATTTGCTTCAAGGCCAAACCCGTATATTCGGAGACAATTATGGGCTCGTTGCCCGCGAAACACGTAACAATGTCGCGTCCGTTCACTCACTGCGGAGTCACTCACGATTACGCCGGGCCGCTGATTTTGCGCGAGACAAAACGGCGTTACTTCCGGAATCACAAGGCATATGTAGCCATTTTTGTGTATTTCGCCACCAAGGGCGTGCACATAGAGCTCGTCAGTGACCTCACTTCCGAAGCATTTATCGCTGCGCTCAAACGACTCGTGTCGCGAAGGGGGAAGCCACTGTGCTTGTATTCGAATAACAGCACTAACTTCGTCGGAGCACACCGACAGATCAAAGAATTTTATGATCTCTTACACAATGAGCAATTGCAGGGCGAAGTCGAAGGTTTCCTCCGCGAGCAAGGTACTTCTTGGAAGTTCATCCCACCTAATGCACCGCATTTCGGCGGTTTGTGGGAGGCAGCGGTGAAGTCCGCCAAATATCACCTTAATCGCATCGCAGGTAAAGCGCACTTAACTTTCGAGGAGATGCAGACGGTGTTATGCGAGATCGAGGCTATTTTGAACTCGCGTCCGCTTACGCCTTTAAGTACTGATCCAAACGACCTGGTCTTTCTGAGTCCAGGTCATTTCTTGGTTGGCACCACCTTGAATAGTTCCCCTGGCGAAGATTTATTCGATGTGAATGAGAATAGGTTGATCCGATGACAGCGTGTCGAACAAATTCGACAACATTTTTGGCGTAGGTGGAGCCATGAATGTTTAAATTCTCTCCAAGAAAAGTCCAAATGGCGATGCAACAAGGGCGAGCAACTGAAGCCGAATCAGCTGGTCTTGCTTAAGCAGCAGGGACTAGCGCCGCTACAATGGCAGTTAGGGCCGATAGAGGAAGTCCAGGCAACGTTCCGACAACGTAGCACGAACCGCCACTATCAGGGCTACAAAGGGCTTGATTACCATGCCCTTATCCAGAATTGCCATACTACCGATAAATACATAGCGCTCATTGTAATCAGGGGCAGCTAATCTCGAGCGTTATTTTTCTTGGATTGCCGCCTTTCTTTATTTTTTTTATTTTATTATAATTTTTTCTTTTTTCATTGCTTTTCTTTTATTTTTTATTTATTTTAATTATGCCTATTTGCGTATATATTTTGTACATCGATCTACCCGTGAGAAACAAATCGGCAATTTTTCGAACTGCGCTTATATTATTGAAAGCGTGTGCTTCCAATGGGGAACGGCATTTGTTCGATATTTGTTTAATATCAATATTAAATTTTAGGCTTCACTCACTCCTTTTCTTATACGACGTGATTGCCCTGTTGCTTTTAACGCGTTAGCGTTTTTGCACGCGTGTTCAGTCGCGAAGTCTCGCACGCGAGCGAGAGAAGAGAGAGAAACAAGAAAGTGCGCAAGAAAAAACATATATACAGAAAAAGCCCGACACAACAAAGGAGCGATCGCTATCTTCGAGACGAACAGTCGCGTGTACAGAAAACTTTTGTCCGAGTTTAATAAACGTTATTTTTTGTCCGTGATCGACGACGAAATTATTCATCCTAATCGCGCTTCAACATTCGCCGACGGATGTAGGCAGCGTCAGCTGCAATTAAAATTTAGAGGAGCTATACTTTTCGGCTATGGAGTCCCGAGGAAACGCCCGGCAGCAGATACTTGGAAAGCGCATTCCTCAAGATTACGGAACAAAATCATACTGGTCCTTCGAGCATTTAACAAGCGGGCAGAATCCGACAGGCTTATTTTTATATATGAAAACATATATCCTGAGAGTGCAAAATATGCATTTAAGTTAAAACCTTGTTTCTACAATAACTTTGCAAATTCTGTCATTTTAAAGAGTAGTGCAGAATCACCAGACACAAACATTATACAGACCATTGTCCCACCTTGAAGTCACAAGTGTTCGTTTACTGCGTTTTTATGTCAAAGCTTACATAAGGATTTATTTAAGAATTATTTAATATTTAGTCACATCTCAATTGTGCGTTTAATTTTGATTTTTAACTTCAGTCAGCGATATATTAATTATATAACTTACTCAGAAATAGAATATGGGCAAATATTAAATAATCTAATAAAAATTACCCACTAATAATACAGTAATAAAGATTGGATAAATAAATATATAAGATAATAAATTTTTATTCAATTAATTAATTGTCGTGTCATTATATTCACGACACCGACACGATAATTGATAAATTTATTATAACATCTTTCTTTTTTCCTTTTTGTTTTGAAGATACTAATATAAATTGAAATTTTTAAAAGAACTGATAAAGAGAAAACTTACAATAAAGAAATAACAATTATGAGTTCCAATAATGCTGTATATGTTTACCAACAGAGATTTAAATTTAGATTCCGTGCAATAAGAAAGTTAAGCATAAATAAAAAGAAAGCGTTGCATGGCAGATGATAATATCATACTCGCTGCTGAAGAAACATTATTACACGTAAAAATTAACATTTGCGGAATTTACGTACATTCTATCGGGTTAATTCTAATACTAGTATTCATAGTTGCGAATTATTTAGGATCTTTGATTGAAAACATAATTAATTACAGATTCGTATTCATGAGCCGTTACTCGGCTGTGTTTGAATTCACGTTTCTTGTACGAAATAACATAGTAAATACAGATACGGATTAATGGATAGTCAAAGATTCATAAAGTGCTATAATTACTTATCAACCTAATTTCCTAAATTCCGACTCGGGCAAATTCGTCAAAAATATCCAAAACTAAAAATATTAAAAACGGAAACTGCCAGTATAATAAATGATTTGACATATCTCGAAAATATTTGATATATCGCTGCCAACGTCCTGAGCCTTGCGTCCTCCATCCTGACTTCTCTGTCACAGGCATTGGCACTGACACTGACACTCGCATAAGTACAATTCGGTAGAAGAAACGCATGTTAAATAACGCGATGCCGAAACCACGATTAAACATACCAAAAGAATTCATGAAATGTTTGAATCATACGGCGGGAATGATAAACACCGAAACACATACTCGGCGGTATGTGAGTCACTTGTCGGCTCGAAATGTAATGAAAATATTCGGAAAAGTACGCGATATGAAGATAAGTTTGACCGTAAAGTTGCGATATTTGTTTGTTGTGATTGCGTTCGGTCGTTCATCGGAAGGTGACACGCTAACCGATTCATGAAATTCTTTTCGCCCATTGTTTGTTAACTTCCTTTGCGCCTCGCGTACTTTTCTACATGTATAACTGAGTATTATATTACATCACGAGACGGCAAATTATAATTCCAGTTAAATATTGCTCGTTGGGTCTTGAACTATTCATTCAAGTTCTATTCAATATTGTCTTAATTAATCAATATCAATAAATATATCAAATATAATTATCACGAAGGTAATGTCGCAATTAATATTGAGGCAGTATAGTACGTTTCTCCAACTAAATCGTATCTACGAAAGTGTGAATGTGTGTGCCATAAGAAAACAAGATCTTGGATCAAGAGACCGGTACGGAGGATGTAGAATGTAAATAACATATTCATTTGATACAAAAGATACGAATCTAGACTTGTATTCAAAAGTCTTTTATTCAAAAGTCATGAATAATTTGCAACTATAGATATCGATCTTAAAATTGAATGAAAGTCTCGCAAGCGTTGATTTGTGTATTTAATAATGTTTCTTGGATCGCAACTCTCATTTTGAAGTTCATTTATCAGTGCTTTTTCCCATTTCTATTTACATAGTTATTTTAACTGTCTAAATCTAAATATAAATCTTGATTGCTGCGCAGTATTAGTGGATCGAATGTCCATATTTCGATTCTCCATATATTCCGGTTCTCCAAATCGTATAAAAATTCCCGAGACCAATGAAAAGAAAATTATAAAGAGAGTACGAAGAAAATTTGTTCCTATATTTACCCATTAATTTTTATTGTAATTATTATTTATTGTATTATTTAATATTTGCTCATCGTCAAGTTCAACATTGAATAGAGAAAGTTAATTTAAAATAAAAACTTCAACTTCAGGCCACTGCTCGCATTTCAACCTCTACTCCGCGGCGAGATATTTCGGGCGTCGAACTCGGCGAAATATAAACCCGGACGCGGAAAATTTTCTGTCAACGGCTTTTTTTTCAACGATTAAATATTTCGGAAACTCTCGCCGAATGACCTTTGCGTATGACGCGTACGGCGGGGCTGGGTAGGGTAGATGCACAGGACGCATATATGACGCGAACAGCAAATGTGGTGCGGCCAATCGCATTGGCAGTCGGTGGCCTTTTTGATCGAGTTTACAATTACACGTCACCTGTCCCACGCGGTGCATTACCGGGTCCCGTGACGTATTGCCAAGTCTGCAGGCCGTTAACATCGCTCCCGAGTTCGTTCATTAATAATAGATGCATTATTAACAGCCGGGTGTACCGGAAATATTGCAGGTAATCGGTACGCAACTCAGATTCGCTCACGTCATAGATGTTTAAGTTCAGTAATAATGTGTGTACGCGCTGATCGTGTAATTTTCAGAGAAACCGCGCGGAGGCCGCTGCAAACCGGACTGGCGAGCGAATCCGGTAAAATATTTACGATTGATAACGCTAACAGATTGATTCGTGTAAGTTCGGTCTTGCGATTAGCTGATCTTTTCTAAATAATAATGCGAAAAATAAGCGATGAGAAAACATATCCCCGATCGAAGCTAGCGTCTTCCAGCGTTGTCGCAGCAACTAACCGTTGTCGCGATATTTTAAGTGGAAAAATGGTCGATCGCGGTCGATTTATTTCGCGAAGTTTTTACCGGCCAAGTGCCTCGCGTTTGTTCACGACAAATTTTCAGAAACACCGGAGTTATGGCCAGGCGTCAAGCCGCGTGGGCAAAAATAGCAATCGACAATAAAGTACAACATAGGCAATGAATCGTATACACTCGACAGTCCAATCTACGGTAATCTACGCGATCGCGATAACACATCATTCGGCGGTTGTTAATGGCCGCGAATCGTTAATTACGGTCGGGGGAGAAAAAAAGAGGGGACGAACTCCTAATGGCAACTTTCGATTCACCGGGAAATTGCGATAAAGGTAAAACGAGCGCGGAATAAAAGCTTTCGCCGCGTGCACGCGCATGCGCGCGCACTGCGGAGCGCGGGTAAACAATTTCGCGAAACAAATTTTAATTGCAATTACTTCACGTCCGCGTTGGCGGAGCGTGAGTCTGCCGCGTGACACGTCGTTCTGAGTGTATGTGTACGAACGTGTATATGTGTGTGTACTTGCGGAACTATATGGGTGCGTGCGTGCGCGCGCTCGAGTCTGCGTGCCGCGAGCAAAAACGAGAAAAAAAAGGAAATACTAATTTCACCGACGCGCGAGTGTGCGTGCGTCGCCGGATATAGCTCGGTCATAGATTGCACGGATTAAAATAATTTCTGCGACGATCGAGAGTGCAGAAAATCGAGATTAGAGAGCGCGCGCGCGGAAAAACCGATAATATCCCGCTAGGGTACGTGCCGTGTCGAATTTACCCCTGGCATTTCTAGATCGACTAAATAAAAGCGCATATCCGACGAATACGGGACGTATTTCGATGCTGACGGAGTTACGCGAAATGAAAATTTGGCGGTCGACTTTCTCATAGCGTGCGCGAGTGCGAATATACTATGTAGTTAGCTCGCTCGCCCCTCCCCTTCGCCGTGGCATTTTAGATTCCGGCGGCGGACAAAAACATGGCGAAAATGTAAAAGGCGGCCATTTTCGCATTGACACGCCACGTTGCACCGCGATAAAATAATTAAGCGTTAAATGTTGCCGCCACGTTTACTCACCGATAATAACTGATTTTAACGTTGTACTACACGGCCGCGGGAACGGCGTAGCGGTGCGTGAAACAGCGTACGTTCACCGCGCTAACGATGAAAAGCAAGCGAGATAATCCGATTTTTATCCGCTATCGTGCACGTCGATATGCGCATTGCCAATAATACGCTAATATTGCGTAA